CTCTCTCTCTCTCTCTCTCTCTCTCTCTCTCTCTCTCTCTCTCTCTCTCTCTCTCTCTCTCTCTCTCTCTCTCATGTTTGCTGTGTAATATATAGCCCCATCTTGTCACCATTTTCATTGTAGGTTGTACTATACACATAAGTTGTGACATACATAACCAAGAAGACAGGTGCGGAGATTCTAACAGTTCACAAACTAATCTTTAGCACCATCCTTTGTTCCTTAACCTTTGCTTTGTTGGATACAATGATATATGACACTGTAGGCCTTGGGAGCCTTGAGGGAAGCGCTCAAGTACTTGACGAAGTCCAAGACCGAGAACAATGACGTCCGCCTCAATTCGCTCACAAGAAGAATCGCCATGGTTGAAAAGTTTGTCCAGGTACGCAGGACGAGGAGCCTCTCCCAGTGTTCATGTTCTTGGCGGGCCTCATCACACCACTTACGAAATGAAAACAATGGTCGTGCATCTTCCCACAGAAGGTGGCTCGATTCATCCTTTACTATTGAATAGCAACAGATGTTTTTTTCGTCGACTTCTGTGGAAAGATGCACCCACATAGTTTTCGTTTTGGTGTGAGTGGTGCGGCAAGGCCCTTTGCCCCGTCGCTTTTGTTCCCCTGTGTTGTGTTAAACTGCCAGCACAACTCGTCGCCTACGAAAATTTAGGAGGCCCAGCGCCGTAGATAAAATAAATTGAATCGGCGGTGGGTGGCCTCCAAAAAGGGCCCGTGGCGGATAGCTGGATGTACTGGCGGTGTAAGGGGTTTTTATTTGCATTCCCATTTTTCGTCTGAGGGTTGTGTTTGTTCGCAGCTCTTGTGTAAGGGTTGTCTTTGTCCCCGGTTCTCTATGAAAGGAGTGCCTCCCGAGGAGCTACGGTAGTGACCTTAGCAAAACGTACAGTTGAGGGATCTGCATTAGGAAGACGGAGGAGCGGAATGATTTCTTTCTTTCGCTGTCTTCTTGAATCCCAGCGTGTGTAAGGGATCACTATTTGTCTATATTGTGTGGCCTGGGAGATGAGTTTTCGACTTGTACTCAGAATATTCTACATGAGACGTGTTGATCAAATAACTTTGCCGAAAACCTAGAGGCTCGCCACACAGGCTGTCGAAACTCTTTGAGTGAGTTTCCACAGCTGTCAGAAGAAATTAGAAAGTCGGCGGTCGACAGTTTAACCCCCCCTTCGCCACACAGGCTGTCCAGGGGCAAGGTTTTTGGTCATATGGCCAAATGGACTCAGCCTGCCTTTCCACAGGGCACGCCCGTCACGGAACAGTCCCTGACTGACAATGCAAATTCGAACTCAATTCTCCAAAGGCAGGTGGATGGGGCACTGTCGAATTTCCGTGTCCTGTAGGCAGGCGGGAGGAAACGAATGGGGGAGGGTGGCTGTCGAGCGTAGTAGCGTACCATTCTGACACCTGTGGAAATTGTTTTGAGCCACAATTCTTCTTCGAAAGTCTGTCTGTGTGGCGATGCAAAATTGTCGAAAACCTGGTTTTTGACAGCCTGTGCGGCGAGCCTCTTAGCCGTGGATGTATTTCGACTGTGCATGTTGTTTTCGCACCTCTCCTTTTACCCGCAGTTGGCCCAATCATAATCATCTATAGATGGAGGGAGGAGAACGAAAAAAAGCAGTGGACCTTATTTGTAAGGGAAAATCTGGGATATAAATGCTAGAATACCCCTAAGAGATGTGGGTAGAGCGGAATGTCTTCTTGCTAAGTTCTTTGTGTTATAGCCCTGTCAGGAAAGTGTACAAATTTGCATTTTACCCCATCTTTTAGGGGTATTCCATTATATTTCTCATCTTTTTTTATTTTGGGGGGGACGGAACGTTGCTCCAATCTATTCACAAGGAGCAACTGCTGCTGGGAACTGGGCTCAGCGACCCTTATGAACATTAAGCCACCAGTACGTTTCCCAGCCATTTTGCAGAAAAGCGCCGCCGGTATATTCGGAAGCCAACGGGGAAAGGTCCGCCGTTGATAAATGTCATCGGCGGCTCGTTTTTCGTTTCGGCCTCGAATTCCCGCCCACAGCCGAAATATGGGAAATGTACTGGTGGTTTAAACCATCAGTACATTTCCCAGCTACAAAATCAAAGTCACGGCCCGCCGCAGCCGATATATGGGAAACATACTGGTGGTTTAAACCACCAGTACTTGGCCCATACATCGGCCGGGGGGCGTTGTCGTTAACCCGCAACTTCCGGAGGCTCGGGGTACCGGCCCTCAAAGGCTGGCGCCGCCAGCCAAAACATTTTTTCTTGTTGCACTGGCGGGTCGACGTGCAGCCCGTTTTCAGGCTCGGCATCGATAGCTGGGCCAAGTGCTGGTGGTTTAAGATGAAACGACTACCTAACCCACCCCGATTCATCATCCGCGCAGACACTTATAGCTAATGTGCTGCTGTAGATGTATATTATTATTATGGTGTTGAATTATATTTTATTTCTATTTGTTCTTTTGTCCTTATTTGTCAAGGCCCGGAAGCTCGCCAAGACTGATCCGTCTCAAATGGTCCGCCTCTGCAACGAGTTAATCCTGCAAGTTCCGAGGGACGTATCTGACCTGGAGGTACGGTATTGTGCATTACCAGTAAACTGCAGTGAGTGTGATGCTAAGAACTATGTACTGCTTGCTATGTTGATCTCTCTCTCTCTCTCTTTGCTCTCTCTCTTTGCTCTCTCTCTCTCTCTCTCTCTCTCTCTCTCTCTCTCTCTCTCTCTCTCTTTTTGGTCTCTCTCTCTCTCTCTCTCTTTTTGGTCTCTCTCTCTCTCTCTCTCTCTCTCTCTCTCTCTCTCACACACACACACACACACACACACACACACACACACACACAAAGTGAACAGAATTGTCTTGAAAAAACAGTAGAGGAGAGGAGAGAGGCATACGCGCAAATAAGGAGTGACCCCGATACAGAGGCATGATGATGACCAATGGCTCTAATTAATAAATACCCAGGCAGGCATAAGAAATCGTGTACAAATTACAGCCTCCGTTGTTGTCCTATGACGAGTGAAAACTTTCTCGATCCCTAATCTCGCAGAAAAAAATCCTCTCCTCTAATTGGCCTTCGATTGTTTATTTTGCCCAAAAATATTGTTGGCTAAAAAACGCAGGACGGTAATTGGAATCCTTGGTAGAATCATGTCTGTAGTTGTGTGAAACGTTACATTGACACACTTTTCAATTTCATGCTGATGATGACCACCCACCCATCCATCATCATCATCATCATCATCATCATCATCATCCTTACAATGATGGATGATGATTCAAACTCTGATAATGATGAAGTTTGTCCTGCTGCTGTTTCTGGTGATGATGATGATGATGATGATGTGATGATGATGAATGATGGTAGTGGCCATGGTGGTGGACACCTCAGCAACGGACTGCTGCTGCTCGTGATGATGATGATGAGGAGGAGGAGGAGGAAAAAGAGGACCAGGAGCAGGAAGATTAGAAGGCGTGAAGAGGAGAGGTAAGAGGAAGGATGGGGACGATGAATGATTGGTGACGAGTCTGGGGATTATGTTCAAGCACCGATGGAGATTATGAAAACCGTTGACGACGAAGATCACTATGGATGGATTATTGATGACGATGATGGTGGAAGACGGGTCATCTTTGAACAATGATGATGACGATGATGATGATGGAGGAGGGGTCATCTTTTTTGTTCCCGTTTTGTTTTTGAAAGGGCGACAGCCTTGAGATATCATAGTGAAAGTGATTGGCCCTAGGTCAATCAGGAATTTCGTTCGTCTGGTTCCAGCTGGATTCGAACTCAGGTCTGCATTTCAACAGTTCATGGGTGTGCCAACTGAGCTAAGCCCGTTCGTGGACGGGTCATCTTCGAATACTTGATTAAAAAAAAAAAAAAAAAAAGGTTGATAAACGGTGGAGAAAGGTTTCTCAAAAAGAGGAGGGGAAAAAAGAAAAGAAAAAAGAGGATCAT